TAGGTTACCAACCAGATAGCGAAAATCTATCTGGTTACAGGTTATAGGTTACGTAAATGGTTAAAAGACTCAACCAGATAGCCGTAACCGTAGGTTGACCACTGCTGGTTCGCACACCCTGATTCCGACATCCTGGACAGGCTACAGTCTGTAATGCGGAGGACCGGTGTGCACGGTGTGCAGCTCGGTGTGCCCACGAATTCTTACACGAGAAGGAAGGTGCAGTTCAAGGTTCAGGCTAGCAGCTGCTGGACGGTACGGTATACACACTTAATCCGCTCAAGCGGCTTGACATTCCACGATGCTTCAAAATGGCTCTACCCGTATGGCAATGTTGGGGCAGAATCCAATGCTATGCTGCTGCTGTGGGTCTGCATAAGATGTCTGCATAAGATCTCTGCATAAGATGCATCCTTATCCTCCCGTCCAGGCCCCTCAAAGTGATTGCTGCAGTGCATCGAGGAGGCGCTGAAAAAAGGTTTTGCTACCTGACCTACCATTGTACTGTATTACCTGTACCGATAGACAACTTGTACACCGTTGCAACACACTAGAAACGTAATTGAAAAACGAGCAACAGATCCTCTATATCTCATTTATCATTTCTTTTCACTACTAGAACGGCGCTTTTATTGCTTTCCCACTGCCAAACCATTAGGGGCCGCATCAGATCACATCACATGCTCAATCTATCTAGTCATTTGCTTACTTCCTTTTCTTTCAAAAACTTGGCTCCCGCCTGGTCAGCGGCGCGAATGGCATCCACCATCATGTCCACCGTCACTTCAAAGGGTTCATTGTGAGCCGACTCGCCCGGTGCCAAGGACCGTTCTGCAATTTCGCAAACGGCTTTCTCCGAGCTGACATCCACGCCGAGACCGGAAAGGACCAAGGGGAGTCCTACCTTGTGGTTAAACTCCAAGACAGTGTCGAGTTCTTCGCGGGGACGACCTTCCAAAATGAGCTGGGTCAAAATGCCAAAGGCAACCTTTTGTCCGTGAGTGTAGGTTGCCGTCTCTTTTTGAGATGTGAGCCCATTGTGCACCGAATGAGCGACACAGAGTCCTCCGGACTCAAATCCCAAACCACTGAGAAGGGTGTTGGCTTCCACGACGCGCTCCAGAGCCGGTGTGACAGCTTGACAGTACAAGGATTCGACGGCGGCGGGTCCATCCTCGAGGAGAATATCACAGCACAACTTGCTAAGGGCAATGGCGGTCTCGGTTTGTTTCCCTCCTAGAAAATTGTCGGCGTGAGCTTCGTGAACGGTCCTGGCTTCGTAGTACGTCGCCAAGGCATCTCCGAGTCCTCCCACGAGCATACGAACGGGAGACTTGGCCACAGCCGTGGTATCGACCAAGACGAGTGTGGGATGACGGCACATGAATCGGTACTCGTGGAAACTGTGATCTTCGTGGTACATGACACACAAGGCCGAGCAAGGAGCATCGGTGGAAGCGACCGTGGGACAAGAAACGAATTCGCAAACACTGCCATCTCCCACCAATCCAACGGCAGCTCGAACGGCATCAATGATCTGTCCTCCTCCAAAGGCCACCAGGGTTTTGGCATTCTGCGTCACGGCATGGTCGGCAATGCGTTGGGCTTCCGCAGCTGTGCAGGTTCCTCCAAACAATAGTTCGGTATGCTCGTATCCGGCATCTTTCAAAGAAGTCGTCCAAGCTTCGCCCAGCAATTTCTTGGGGGTAGCCGTCGTCACAACCACCACTGGACCCTTCATGGCCAGCTTTTTCATCTCATTTCCCAATTGATGGGTAGCATTGCGTCCTTGCACGTAGCGCTCAGGGGAAGAAAATACTTTCAAGTTGTTGGAGCCAGACATGGTGATGCTTTACAATAAATGAACCCTTTAAGCTAGCTAATAGTGCTTCTGGATTGCAGTTGGCTAGATCTGAAAATTATGACCTACAACATCTTTCCTTTGCCGGCACATACTTTTGGAAGAAGAAAGATACAGGTACCAGAAAATAGCTTATCTTGAATAAAATACTGAATTGAATAGTAATGATTTATTACTGTGTATTCTTTTGATTGCGTTATCATCTCAGTTCAAATGGTTGATTTTGAGTATTGAATCATTGGGATAAAGTATAATTATCTAAACTCAAAGCGACCAAAAGAACCCCACCCATTCTGTTGCTTGCGAAGCCCAACTCCTTTCAAGTTCAAGGGTTCTCCACAATCTAAATCTTACACACCATTTCCGTCCTCTGAGCTGTCCATGGCCAATAGTATTTGGGGAAGCAAGCTACTTCGTCGACGCACCATCTTTTCTTAGAATGATCAATCGAATGAATCAAGGATCAAGAATCGAATCGAGATCCAAGCCACTACTGCGGCCAAGAGCAGAGCTGAGGCAAGCTCGCTACTGTAGACTACGTCAAGTTCCACATGTGATACAGCATAAACGTTGTCCTGAACTTTAGCTGCCCTCTGGGCTTTGAAAGCAAAGCGCCTTATTGCTTCAAACATGGACATATTGGGAAGAGGCAGCAAACGGAAGAAGATCAACGGAAGCGCCCCTGTTGGAGGTAGTACGGTATCTTTTGCCCATTCCAGGAAGACTTGCTTGTCGTTCCTAGCTAGCTATCGCCACAAAACCCGTCCCTAATACTAGTGCTGGACTACTACCTCATGATGCACGCATGTGAGTGAGCCAACTGAATGATCAATCTTAGTGGTGATTTGGTTGAATCGAATCAATTGCGTGCTTGGTGATGGACTTCCGAGATCTAGTAGAGCTATCCCTTGCGACCGTGGCTGGTAGCTCTAGCTAGCTGGAGAGAGCCAATGTTGCATTGAAGTGGAGCAGCGTGGACCTACTTGATATCCGCGCTGAGCGTTGAGCAACCCATGACGTAACAGGCGCATAATAAAAATTTAATAATTAGCTTTAAAAGCTTACTGGGAGTATCGGGAAATGACGCAATTTGCATTTTTGACACTCAAATTGACTTGAGTAGAGTCACAGGCGGGAATCAAAAGCAAAAATTGACAACTGATGGCAGGTGGAAATTCGGATGCACTGCGGTTTTGATGTTTCGATGTTTTGATGTCAAAAATCAAAAAATCAAATCAAATCACGACAATCAATCAATAATGGCAAATCAAAAATCAATCAAAAATCAAAACGTGTTTTGATGAATTTGTTGACTCAACACCAAGTCAAAATTGAGTCAAAATTGAGTCAACAACTCGTCAACAACTCGTCAACAACGTCAACAACTCGTCAACACTGTCAACAGAAAGTCAACGCTGCTGTCAAAACTGTACTCAATCGAATCAACAGACTCGAATCGAATCGAGCAGTCGCCGCCAGCACACTGAACCAGCCACACTGAACCAGCCAGCACATTGCCAGCACATTGCGACTGAACAGCCAGCACATTAACCATTACCTGTCCGACCGCGCCAGCGCCACCCGCACACCTTGGTGGCCGTGGAAGCAATAATGGAAGTGGGAAGCCAATAATGGAAGATGAAGCATGGAAGATGGAACATACAGTGCGTTGGCGAGCGAAGCACCACCGAAATCACCCCTAGCAGCACCACCAAATCCACCCCTAGCAGCGCCATTGCGCATTTTGGATTCAAAAATAAACTACTCTCCTAGACCTGCATCGGCATCCGTGGCATCCATCTCGTCGGCATCCGCATCCACGCGTTGTTTCGTATAGTCACAGACCTATAGTCACAGACCTTGGTAGGAAGCCCAGACAAAGTCCGCAAAGCTCCATGAATTCATCTGTTCCACGCTACCGGTAGCTGACAGATGTTCTTCATCAGATGTTTCTCTGATGAAGAAGATTGATTGACTTGGTGGTTTCGTATCATTGATCGGTGGTTTCGTATATCGGGTGCGAAACGTATCATTGATCGGGTGCGGGTGCGAAACTGCGAATGCGGTAGGGAAAACTGGCTGCGAATGCGGTAGGGAAAACTGGCCGGCTGGCTTCCTATCAAGTAGACTTTAGTCACTTGATGGATCCTGGAAGATTGGATCGGCCTGGTTGCACTTTCCGATTGATTCGATTCGCATCCAAGAGCTGTGCTTGCCACCACAAGATCATTTCCTGTTCAATCATTTCCTATTCGAGCAAGGAGCCGCTACGACTAACACTATCAAAGCAACCAAAGACTAACATTATCAAAGCAACCAAAGATGGCATCTCCGATTGGTGGCTTGAGCGATGATATTTGGACTTCGAAGATCCTTCCACTCCTGGGCATGGGACAATATGCCTACATTGGAGCTACCAGCAAGAAATTCAACCAAATCTACAAGGAGTACTGTGAACTTGTCAAAATGAAGCCACGAGTCTATGCTGTCAGAGTTCCAGGAGGCGCACGAGAAGAAATCATGAAGCAGCCGCAACTTTCACATTCTACAGCACTGCTTTCTTCAACGTGGAATGTGCCAAATACTGGGACACATTCTACAGCTCTTTCTTTCAGATGGATTCTGCTAAATACTGGGACGTGTGTTGGAACAAACGTCCCACCCAAAACAAGGCATGCGAAAAAATTGCAAAACATGGAACACTGAAAGTCCTGCAATGGGCACGGCAGACATTTCCATGGGGCACGTCGTACCATTGCTGCCCTAGCCAGTCGCGGACATCTAAAAAGCATCCGATGGGCCGTCGAGAATGGCTGTTTGATTTTCCCTCGTGACTGCAGTCCATGGGATGCTGCTGCAGGTGGTGGGCACCTTGAAGTACTAACATGGGCGTACAGCAATGGATTCGAAGCAAGTAGGCGTGGTTGCGCAGATGCAGCAGAGGGAGGGCACCTGGAAGTGCTCAAGTTCCTTCATGCAAATGGTTGTGATGGAACAATGGACATGTTCTCATGCTGCCCAGGTGGTAATTTGGAATGCTCAAATTTGCCCATGAAAAGCTGTCCCATGGACATGGATACTGCCTCTATGCTGCTACAAACGGACATCTCGAGTGCCTCAAATACGCCCGAAAAATGGGCTGTCCATGGGATGAATGGATATGCTGTGCAGCTGCTGGAGAAGCCATTTGGATGTTCTACGATGGGCCGTTGAACAGGGATGTCCGTCCACTGGAGGGCCAACATATCAACGCCAAGAATGTGGCTGCGGGAGAAGGGCAGCTAGAGAGTCTCAAGTACATCCTCAGACAAGAGAAGGACAACTTCTTGCATGAAACGCTTTTTGAAACTGCAGCAACAAATCATCGTTGGGTGGTACTCAAATGGCTTTGTCTGGAGGCTGGTAAGTGTGCTAAATTGGCGCTTCTTGAGAAAGGCCTTGAGCTATGGGAAGAATATCATTCGGCTCTCAACGCCTAATTTGACCCAACCCAAATCAGAGAATTCATAGCTAATTCATAGTCTACTGACCCATTCATAGTCTAGCTCTCGTACATCATGTACATCATGCAGAGCTCTCGTCCACATCATGTACATCAATGCATCATGCATGTACATCATGCAGTACATCATGCAGAGCTCTCGTGCATCATGCAGACATCATCATGATATCATGATGGGCTCTTCAGCTCTTCAGATGGCTTGTGCATCATCATGCACACAGCGCCAGCCCCACAAGTGTATCCATGGGGCTCGCGCTAAGGACTCACCTTAATCCAAAAGCGCACCTCTGCCTGATGCACGCAAGCATTCTCCATCGGAGATTGGCTTGCTTGCAAAACTAAGCTCACATTTTAAAAATGTAGGAGATGGTATCGTCCGTTACCACCTAACACCCACAGTGTTGAGGTCAGGGGCGGAGCAGGCGAGAGCACGCAAGCCAAGTACACAAGCAGCACGCAAGCCAAGTACACAAGCCGGGTAGGATTCAATAATAGCTAGAATAAAACTTAAACCAATAATAGCTAGAATAAAACTTAAGGATGTCCCACGGGGATACAGTGCGTTTTAGTTTTAAGATTATATTTGCTCACTTTTTCTACGCATCATCCAAATTGAATCGAACTATCGGCATCAGAAGGGAAATCGATCGTATCATCATCACCCCATCGTCCCGCCAACTACCGCCACGCACCGGGTCATCGACATTGGCGTCATCGACATTGGCGTCAATCGGCATCGACATTGGCGTCATCGGCATCCATCTCCCTCGCGACGTCGTGTTAATAACCTTGAAAGGAAGCTCAGACAAAGCCGTCAAAGCCGTGATGAATTGCCCGCGTAGCAAGTGGTGGTCAAATTCGTTGACGTACTCTTCACAGACCTCATCATCTCCTGCAAACCACATCACATACAAGGAATCATCGCCAGTGAGATGGAACTCAATCTTCACCGCGGTGCTAAGATCCTTAGACATCACAGCGTTCAAAGACGCTCAATGTCTTCATGAATGCTGATTCCGTGGTAGTTAATATTAGCCATGTTGATATTGAAATCTCTGTTTGCTGTTGTTCGAGTTGTGGCTTTGCTTGGATTTCAACTGTTCGTTGGTGGACATCAGGAGTCCATGTTCGATGAGCACTGCTGCTGCCTTGGCTTTGTCCGTCGGGTCTTGTGCCATTGCATGCGCGGCCTTGGCTTTGGCAATTGCTCGGTACTTGGAGATGCTGAGGTTGCCATGGCAACCAGTTTGGGGCTTCCGAGACATCGGGTGGGTCGGTGGGGAGGGGGTCGGTGGGGAGGAGGTTGTAGGAGGTTGTTGTTGTTGTGGCCGTATGTCCACTTTATGTTTGAAGACGATGTTGTTGAAAGTTGTTGGCAGTTTGTTCTTCCCAACAGTTACTGATCACAGACCGACTGACATAGTCGAGTCCAGTCAGTCAGTCGGATGCTCTTTCCAAGCAGGCGTCCCTCGCTTTCCACGCAGGCGTCCCTCGATCCCAATCGGTAAGGGACTTGACCGCATTCATCGAAACACAAAAGAAGTCCATAGTAACCCACTTGTTAAAAGAAGCAGCTAAGTGAGCAGCACAAGGAGCACGCAAGCCATTCTCATCGGAGATTGGCTTGCTTGCAAAACTGAGCTCACATTATCAATCATGTGGGATTGATTTTGATCATACCACTGAGCACTCCCACACGAAACAGAAGTTGGAGCTGTCACGCCCCAACGAAACAACTAGACAGAAATTACTACAGAATACAGAAACCGTCCAATGCAACCACCACCGGTACCATTGCAGCTACTAGCTAGGACTCAAAATCGTAAATGGTCAAAAGATACTCAAAATGGTCAAAAGATACTCAAAATCTGTCGGGACTCAAAATCGTAAATGGTCCCGGTTTCCATCATAACATTCATAACCTTTCCATCAAAACTTCTCCATCCAAACTGCTGCTCGGTTCTCCATCATAACCATCCAAGCCATGAACGTTTCCATCAGAAGTCCATCCAAACCATGAACGTTTCCATCAGAAGTCCATCCAAACCATGAACGTTTCCATCAGAAGTTCTCCATCCAAACAGCAGCTCGGTTTTCCATCCAACAGGCGCGGAGGTCAAAACGTTTGGCTGCAAGATGGTTTCTCACCACCCCACCGCCACCACATTTGGCAGAAGAGCACAGGCTCTCACAAAATGAAGCAAGCTAGTTTTTGCATCAACTCTGCGCGTCCACCTCTGCAACAAACCTCTACTCCAATGTCCACTCCTCCCACCGCCGAAGCCAAGTGCCAGGAGTGGTTCTGTGCCATTGTGGAGCAACTTGGCATCCCATTTCTTTATGATGGAAATGTGAACGGACGTGCCTACTTGCGCACCACTGGCCTCATTGAAGGCCTAACAGCCATCCGTGAGCAGTACCTCCATTTCAAGCAAAATGGGCATGCCCAAAACAAGCAACAAGCTTTGGGCCTCCTGGTTCGCAAGATCCAATTCAATTTTTTTCTCACTCTTGAAGAAACTGGGTACATTGCTGGATGCACCCTACACCCATCTCATTACTTGAAACACAGTGACATCGTTACCTTGTATGGTTAACTAACGCATTACCTTGTATGGTTAACTAACGCATTGCGATAACATATTTTATAGCGAGTTTCATAAATGCCTTGTTGGCTGTTCACTGTTGTCTCCTTCTCCTCCGTGCATAGTATGTGTAGGTTATCGTGTGGTTACTGTAGACGTGGACTGTAGATCGTGGTGGCTTGTTTCGTTTCCAAACTCCTTGTTGCTGCACTTTTGACCTGGCAACAGGCACAGTCAGTACCAGGCACTGTAGATCTGGTGGCTTGTTTCGTTTCCAAACTCCTTGTTGCTGCACTTTTGACCTGCAACAGGCACAGTCAGTGCCTGGTGTAGATCGTGGTGGCTTGTTTCGTTTCCAAACTCCTTGTTGCTGCATTTTGACCTGGCAACAGGCACAGTCAGTGCCTGGTGTAGATCGTGGTGGCTTGTTTCGTTTCCAAACTCCTTGTTGCTGCACTTTTGACCTGGCAACAGGCACAGTCAGTACCAGGCGCCTCTCATGCACGCAAGCCATTCTTCATCGGAGATTGGCTTGCTTGCAAAACTAACTCTCAACCAAGCTCTTGCAAGCAAGACAGACTACCCGTGCTAACGTGAGTGACAAAGATTTAAGGTGAAGGATAGACTACCCGTGCTAACGTGAAGACCAGAGCGCAAGCCCCACAGGTATATCCGCGGAGCCCGCGCTGGAGGCCCTGGTAACAACAACGGCAACCACAATGGGAACCACAATGGGAGAAGACAGATGCATCTGGGGGAACCACAATGGGAGAAGACAGATGCATCTCGGGCTTTGCACTTTTGGCCGGTGCACCCTTGCCGTGGGTGGAATCGTTGGATTTCTGCTGAAGGTTGGGCATGAGCCCATGTTCGATCAGCACTGCTGCTGCCTTGGCTTTGTTGGTTTTGTCTTTTGCCATTGCGTACGCTGCCTTGGCTTTGGCGATGGCTCGGCGCTTCGTGTGGCCCAGGTTACCGGTAGGCAAAGCGAGTAAGACACGGGATGAAACCATGGAGCAAGCAAGCTCCATGAACTCGGTGAACTCTTTGAGATCTAGTTTGAGCTAGCCAGGTGGTACCCTGGAAACCAGAACGCTACAACAAAACAAATTGAACCACACCCGGTGCAACAAGCTCAACAAGCTTGTCCCTTGTTCGAAGCATTATCCCTTTGTTGCATTGGTGGCTTGGACATTAGATAGAATGTGGTTACTCACACGCACTCCTAATGCTATCTTAATCTTGCTGCTATTCAACATCAACAAATGCACGTCGGATAAGATAGTCATGATGTCTTCGGGACCGTACGCTATTGCCTCTTGTGGTGGGGCATCCATTGGCACGGGCCCAAGCCAACACATCAGAGTGTTCAGAACGTAGGACATCACTGTCCATGGGCAACCATTTCCTCTGGCCCATTTCAATACTTCCAAATGACCCGCCCAGGCAGCACTGCTGCATGTCATTTCATTCCAGGGGCGCCATGTTCTCTAGCCCATGTCAACATTTCCAAATTACCCACCCCTGCAGCAAACGTGCATACGGTGATAGTAAAGGCGCAGCCATTTGCCCTCGCCCATTTGAGAACTTCCAAATTACCAGCAGCTGCAGCACCTGCACAGATATGATTGCCCAATCGACCGTCAGTAGTAGCCCGAACCCACTTCAATACCTCCAAATGATTTCCTAAGGCTGCATATGCACATGTCATGTTATCCCATGGGCAGCCACGAGCCCGAGCCCATTTCAATAGATCAAGATGACCACCCAGGGCCGCCTTGTGAGCGGTTGTATAATCCCAGTTGCAGCCATTCTCATGCAACCATTTCAACACATCCAGTTCCCTCCTGCTGCTGCAGCAGCACATGTGGCTGTGTTCCAAGCACAGCCCTTTCCTGCAGCCCACTTCAAAGCTTCCAAGTGTCCAGCTTGTCGGCAGCAGTGCAGGTAGATTCACCCCATGGAAACCCATGTGCGTGGGCCTGTTTAAACACTGAAAGACTTCCAATCTCGCAATGACTGCGCAAACATCGTCACGTGCAGGGCCCTTGTTGGGTGATTGATCAGCGAGCCAATATTCCATACACGGAATGTTGCAGAATGCTGCACCATAAAAGGAGTCGGTGCTGGTCGCTGGTCTTGTCACTTGGATTCGCACACATGCGATTGGATTTGTTGCTTGGTTTCGCAGCGATGTTGTCGATTGGTCTGGAATCTTCACTTTTGGTGGACTCTTCACTGTCCCACAATATTCCTTGTAGGTGGCATTCATGCGCTTGTTGATAGCACCAACAAATGCATACTGGCCCATGCCCAAGAATGGAAGGATGTTGTTGACCCAAATATCTTCCTGATCAAAAAGAGTACTTATCAATGCTTGATCCCCTGGTCGTGGTTTCTGTTGTGCCTGATCAGCTCGTGTCTGTTGTCGATCTTCAGCAAGCTTCGTAGTGTGCTTCATGGCCTCAAGGAATTGGCACAGCTGAACGCTGTCTCCATCTTCTTCCAGTTGAAGGATCACATCATGGCACGCGTTGAGAGCCTCAAGAGCATTGTTGGCAGTAGTTTTTGTCATGGCAATTGTTTCGTTGGTTTGGTTTGGCTTTGTAGATTGACGAATATCCAGAGAAGCATTGCTGACTGGGTGATCTGTTGATGTGTTGTGACCTTTAAATCGAATCCCTCTCCGGACAGCTCGTTGCCAGTTCGTTGTCAGGTTAATTAAGTTCGTTGGCAGTACTGTACCCGTACCGTTCCGGTTTCTTTACCCTACAACCAGATCCTTTAGAAAGCTTAGCAAAGGCTCTAGGTAGCAACCCTCTGTTATTGTCCAAAATTGACGAGTGACGAGTCATTTCGGCGGGTTGACTTGACTGTTTGACTTGACTGTTTGTTGACCCTTTGTTGACGGTCTGTTGACAGATCGTTGACAGATCGTTGACAGATTGTTGACGTTTTGACGGAAGGCTGTCAACAGATCAATGACTCAATCAAAGTCAAAATTGATCAAAATTGATCAACGTTGAGTCAAGGTTGATCAGTTGATCAACGTTGACAAATTGATCAATTGTTGATAATTGATGAATTGACGAATTGACTCAGTCATACTATGTCAATTCAAACTGTCAAAATCATCTTTTATAAATTTTCCAAAACCAAAGAGGTTAGACGTTTTTGAACTGTTTTTGATTCAGGTTTAGTCAATTTAGTCAGCAAAAATGCAAGTTGCGCCATTTCCCGATACTCCCTGGGGGGATGGAGAAATCCATTGCACATCATTGCAGACCAAGGTTTTTGGCCGGGCTCCCATGGCTTACCACAGCCAACCGCTGTCTACCGCTATCTTTACCACTGTTTACCGCTATCTTTACCACTGTTTACCACTATCTTTACCACTGTTTTCTTTGCTACCACTATCAACCACTGTGAACCGCTGCCAACCACTGTCAACCACTGTCTTCCTGTGGAGCGGCAGCTGTCATCACCATGAATGCCACTGCATTTCTCCATCCCGCGGTACCACTGTAGCGTACTGAGTATGTCATAATAATAATATGTCATATTATTATGCATTCCAGTGACCACCAGAGAGACTCCCATGTCTATTGTCCTTTATGTCCTTTATGTGCTGACCATCCACGATGAAAACAGCTCATATGTCACTGTTGTTAGAGTCTTGCTTCCGTTGATTCTCAATCAGAATTCCCCTAATTGAACAATGCTTGGTCACCAACTCTTTCGTCAAGCGAAAGGCTCTGAAGCCAACAAGCGGCTTGGTAAAAGGAACACGAACACGTTGTTTCGCTAACTCCCATGACACAGAGCACCAAGCTGCGGCAGACTGCATTGCCACAAGACAACAGCAAACGCCAAAGAATAAATTCTAAGATTAGACAAGTGACCATGGCCAAGGAACTAATAGTACTCTCGGCTGTCCTCTTCATGAGCACTAGTTCAGCTGCAGGCAATGAGATCACAAATCCTTATCATGGAGGTTGCTTACAAGCTCTGGTTCCCAATTGGAGTGTTCCCAGAGTGTGCAACAGTGATGATATTACTAGTACTGGTGGTGGTGGGAGTCAGCATTGCCGAGTGCCCGACATGGAATATCTGGAAATCCGTACCTATGTGGCCAACTGGGAGAGCAGCGTGATTGTGGGGTGGCTGGTACAAATCGTACTCAGCGAAATGCTTGGGGTGCCCGCTACCATTGAAGCGGGAAGCTACGGGGAAATCAAATCCTTTTACGATCCTCTGTCCAGGCTCGATTTCATCACACACAATAATGCAACGGCTCTGGAAATCGCAAATACAATGCCACAAAAGGATTGTCGATTGGCCGACAAAACAAAAGACAACTACCAACCATGTGAGTTTTTACCTACCTATGGTATACCTATGCATAGGTCTATAAGCTACCTATATAGGTATGGGCATGGGTATGGGTATGGGTATACAAGCTACCCATCTACCTAGCTATGATATACAAGCTACCCATCTATCTACTTATCTAGGTTATACTCACACTCTGCTTTTTTTTATTGCCTTTCATCCTGTTTTTCTTAGGCGCCCACTTTTTGGCAGAAGCGTGGGATACAGACAGCCCATGGGTCAGAGATCTGATTGATGAACGAAAAATTGATGCTCAAGTTCTAGGGGTCTTGGGATTGGAATCTTGGTTTGTCACTAAATTCACTTCACAACAAGATCCGACCATTGTTTCCTACCATGGACTCATCGGGGAACCAAACAGACACAAACTTGCTGCCATGTTCAAACGGCCCACCACATGGGCTCACTATTGCCAACAAATCTCCACAAACAATTGCACCATTCCAGACCAAGTGGCTCAGAGACCTCCACACAATGAACTAGAAGAGCAATTCTACTTTGCTCCAGACAACTACACGGGACATTTCAGATTCACAGACCAAAACAATTGCACATTACATCCAGATTCTTGTACAGGGCACATTGCCAATTATCCTTGCGGGTGGAGTGGACATATGGAACAAGTACTATATCATCTCAATATTGCCATGGAATCCAATGGACCAGAACCACACAAGGGAGGATACTCCTATTCACAGCTGGTACAACTTTGGAGGGCTGCCAATGCCACAAAAAGCAATCTAATGATGATGTGGTGGACACCCGAACCACTCTACCAAGAATTCTTTTTCACCGACAGTGCCATGCAACGAGTCATGCTCCCACCAGCCACACAACAATGTCTCGATGCACATCCCACTTTTGAACAAGAATGCGACCCCGATCCAGCGGTACGAGTAGGTTCGCCAGACGGAGCTTGCGATCACAATCCCATCAATCTACACAAACTCCTCGGGAGTTCCTTGCACGATATTTCCATGGCCGCGGACGAAGCCAATCGCAATCCCGCACAAGAAATGCTGCGCGATTTTCAACTCACCGAATTGCAACTGGGAGAAATATTTGAACTCTGGCAGACGGAATCCACACCGCAGGATGCCGTGTGTAAATGGGCCGCCAACAATTTGGATGTTTTAAATGCCACGGTACCACCATCCTATCCACGTGTCCTGCAAGTGGAAAATGAGTATTCCTTCATGTTTGCCCTCGTCGTGGCAATGGGGAGTCTCGCCACAATACTGGTGGTACTGACAACGGCCATGGTCTACCGATTTCGGCATCGGGCATCCATCCGTCACGCACAACCTGGTTTTCTCTGGTTACTCCTATGGGGCTGTTTACTGGTGGCCATTGGAGCCATTTTACGGGGAGTCCCAGCAACCCATGGCACGTGTATTGCCAGCACCTGGTTTGTCAATATCGGATACAACTTTGAATTGGTGCCTCTCATTGTAAAAGTTGGCGCAATCAACAGAATGATGGTCGCTGCGACGAAAATGAGACGCATCACGCTCTCCATTGCATCCCTCTACCAGGCAGTGGCTATGATTTGTATGTGCTGCGTCCTCTACCTCTTTGTCTGGACGGGTTTGGATCCTCCGCTCAAAGAATCCGAGTACGCTCTCACCGAATTGACAACCGACGCGGGGGAACGAATTGTGTCTGTCAGCCATTTTTGTGGAACATCCTCTAGTGTTTGGCAGTACGTCTCGGTTGGATGGAATGCAGTCTTGCTATTGTGCGCTTCGGTGCTCGCATTTCAATCGAGGAACGTCTCTGCCAGTTTCAACGAGTCCAGAACGCTGGCATTTCTCTCTTACTCCCATTTCATGTTTGTCTGCCTACGATGTGCTACGTACCTCTTGAAAGATCAGCTGAACGGTACCACAACGGACAGTATCCAATCGTTGCTTTACAGCGTGGATACCATTGCCGCCGTCTTTATCTACTTTCTTCCAAAGCTGAGAGTCGCTGAGACGAGCATGCGGGGTTCGATGGTTAATGGATCCACCAACTATATGGATAAATCATTTGTCCGACAGTGGATGGCGATGGCATCTCAAACCGGCACGGGTGCCTTTGAGGCGGCATCATCCTTCATGACCATTATGAATCATGAAACAGAGGTTCGAAACGGCCGTGGCAGTGCCACTATGGCCAGTATGAACAGCGCTGTTGCACTCAATGTCAGCCAGGCCGAGCTTGCCATGAACGAAGAGGACGGAATCAATAGCACCAACCATGGATGCGCCAACCCAGAGGAAGCCGCCGTAGCAAATTTCAAAATGAACGATCCGGATGATTCTGATTCCGAGATAGAAATTTCCTTCCATGTCGAAGATAATAATCCAACGACAATCAGCATCATTTGCCCCCGATGCCAGGAATCGGACAACACGGGATCTGTATCTACCCGAAAACGTGCTTCGTGGAGCCAACCGTCTATGAAGAAACTGTTGAGCGATTCCTTGATAGATTAGCTACGGTACGGTATGAACAAAGCGACGCAATTGCGACCCAGTTGTTCGCTGCAGCCAAGTTGACGACTGAAGCGGGGTCGTTGGAACGCCCAGCCTAGCATCGATTCTGCGGTGTCTCTCGTGGCGGCGTACTCGAAATCCGAAGAGAACAAGTCCCAGATCCGTTTTGTCAAGATCTTGTCGGCATTCGTCGACCGTTCTTGGTACTTGGGTGGCAGCGCCGAAGAGAGCATTTCACGGAGTAGTCCAAATTGGAATCCTCGCCGTTGTGATATCGAATGACGTAAGAGGGATGACTCCGCGGCCAGTGGAACAGGCCAGCTATTTAAAAATATCAGGGCGCAAGACCAAAATCTATGCAATTGTCCCTTCACCCACGTCACGTCGCCCAACGCTGTCTCGGATATATACGTGAATGGCTTTGCCACAAATTTTGGAGAGCCATGGTGTTTTCAAGGACGAAGGAAATATGCAGGTCATCGGCGCGTGGATCTTCCTGGACGAATTAATAAGGTTTCATCGCTGTCGTGGACGCCGTTACTGCATCGCTTCCTCAAGCAACATGGACCGCTGGAAAGGCAACGAGCTAACAAATAAATCAGAACACTGCGTCAGGGAAGGACGTCCCTGCATTGCCCGCTGACATGGAGAACGATGGACGATGGATGTGTTGGCTCCTATTAATACTAGCTAGCTAGCTGGCTAGAGAGGGGTTGCAACTGCTGCCGTCTGGCTCGTTTCCTATTACTCTGGTTCCTGATGTTTCCGAGTATCTGAAGCCTCAACAATGATTAACTTAAGACTCTAGACTCTAGACCCCCCCCCGTCTGATTGCAGCATGCAGCATAGTTCCGGCTCCTTCGGGGTATCCTTTTGCATGATACCTCGGTGCACCCTTCAACCTGCCAAGGCTTCTGGCTAAAGTCTCCACTCTAAGGTTTCTGGCTAGCTAGGCTGTCCTCCACTCTCCGTAACTCTACCGGTACATGTATGACAGTCTACACGTAGCCAGCTAGCTAGCTGCGCTTTGGCTGTGGTACCCAATACCCAATACCCAAGCATCGTCCGGAGTTGATACGAGGAAAGCTGAATCAACTCGTAAAACAATCGAGCCGTTCAAGGTTGGGCGATATTTAGGCCATGCAGCATTGGTGCCCAAGCCAGTGCTCTTTCAGTTAGGCACACGTTCCAGGCATTCCTTAAAGCTTTACAGTTCCACGCGACTTTACAGTAAACTTGTAAAGGCTTTAAATCCTTTGAGTCTCCCCAATCCATAACAACAAACCTGAAAAGCTCTGGAGGGATGCACTTTCCAGTTCTCGTGTAAATCGACGCGACAGCAATTTGCAGCATGCGGCATTGACTGTCACTGACTCGGCTCGGCTCAATAGCATTGATCGACGGCAACAAAGATACAGTACACTGTTCAAGATGAAGCTCCTCTACCAAGTGTTGCTGCTGCAGCTGTGTTGCTGCCGGTGTGTCTCTTTCGTTGCGCGACGTTTGGCTACAGCTACGATTCGTGCGAGTACGAGTCCTACAGCACTGGTGATGACGAGCACTTCGGATCGTCCAATGACGGCCACTCCGTCGATTTCGGATTCTCTCGAGCTTCCCATCTCGAAACGCTGCATTTCGAACCGTCTGCTCAAAGCTGCCTTGACGGAAACCTTGGCAGATCCCAACACGTGTCAACCCAATGAGCGTCACTTTACACTCTACGAAACATGGAGTCAAGGCGGTTGCTCCATGATTCTTACAGGAAATGTCATGGTCGATCGCGAACACCGGGAAAGTCCACGCAATGTCGTGCTGGATGGGGACAGTGACTTGGCAGACTTTCAACACTGGGCCAATGCTATTCATAGTCATTCGGACGGCTATAACAGTAAGCCTCTTGCCATTATGCAAATCAGTCATCCCGGTCGCCAATGCCCCTTGGCATGTACCCGGCGAGAAATCACACCCGTATCTTCCTCCAGTGCGCAACAAGCGCGACTCGTCTTGCCGGGCATTCTTGGAGCTATTTGTGGGAAATGCCTGATCCGTCCGGCAAGAGCCTTGGGCAGGCAAGAACTGCCCAGCATCGTCCAAAAGTACGCCACGACGGCCAACTTGGCTGAAAAGGCGGGCTGGGATGGCGTCCAGATTCATGCCGCACACGGGTACTTACTCTCCCAATTTCTATCCCCATCTGCCAATCATCGAACCGACGAGTACGGAGGCAAGAAGGGTCGCAAAAAGTTGCTCCTAGAAGTGATTGCGGCGGTGCGTGAGGCCACTTCACCGTCCTTTGTGGTGGGCATCAAGATCAATACCAAAGATCGTGCTGCAGAAGGATCCGAGCGTGAAACGGAATGCTTGCATCTCATTCAAGATCTGTGTGACTTGCAACAGCTGGATTTCATTGAGTTGTCGGGTGGCAACTATGAAGATGCGATCTTTATCACTGCCACAGACGATGCAGCTGCTACTACGACTGGGATATTTGGATCGTTTGCGGAACGGTTGCAGGCACAGCTACAAGTCACAGAAGCAACCCCAAAGTTTGTGCTCACGGGGGGCTTTCGAACCAAAGCGGGAATGCAACAAGCCCTCCAACAGAACTTGTGTAACATGATTGGGTTGGGACGACCCGTCATTACAAATCCCAGGTTCTCCAAGGATATCTTGGACGGCAACTATGTGGACGACGACGATGATCCGGTTTCATCCACGCTGCGAGCTCCAGTCTTTCAGGAAATCCTCAATGCCGCCTTGAACAGTTTGTGGTACCAACGACAATTGCACCGCTTATCCATTGGACTATCACCCAATCCCAAGCTTTCATACATATACACCTTGGTAGTCAGCTTTTGGGTTGCCTACATTTGGGACTTCAAGTTTCAGGGCCACGCAGCCTACAAACAGAACAAGAAAGCCAACGGCAGCACGGAGAACAAGCAGGAGAATTAGCTTTGGGAAGTAATTGTACGTACCAGGTATGGGCCCGAGCATCTCTGTCGGGGAGTAAGTCTCGAGGTAAAAGCACGAGCTCGAGTAGATAGACAGATAAGTACGCTGGCTATAGAGAATACACTCGTAGAACAAAAGTAACGCATGGCTTCGTAAGCTCTGTATTGCAAATTATGCTATGGGCTTTGTCCCGCATCGCCACCACAGCTCTCCTCCCAACTAGGGCAAACCACAAGGGCAATTATCGGGGACAGAAACTTCACCTTCATCCACATAGCATGCATCCAGTCTGGTCAGAGCCAACATGCAGACGCTGGTTGGAACAGTTCCTGTAAAGCTGTTGTTGTATAAGTAGAGCCATTGCATTGTTTGCAGCAAGCCCAGCTCCGACGGAATCGAGCCTGAAAAGCTCATGTCATAAACATAGATTCCATTCAGGGCAGTCATCAAACCTAACTCGCTTGGCAGCGTTCCATTCAAGGAGTTTCCAACAAGATCAAGCCGGGTTAGCTGCAAGAGAAGTCCGACTTCTGACGGGAGCGTCCCTTCCAGCGAATTGTTTTCAATCCCAAGATTAGTAAGAGCTGATAGCAAGCCAACTTCGGATGGGAAGTTTTTGAAGGAATTGTAGTCAAAGTCGACCTCAGTCAATGCTGTCAAGAGAAACAATTCCGTCGGAATGCTGCCTGTAAGGGAATCATCTCGGAGCGAAAGTCTGTTCAATGCTTTCAGGTTTCCAAACTCGGACGGCAGGGCACCCGACAAGTCGTTCCATCCCAAGTCAAGTTCAGTCAACGCCGTCAAAAGACCAAGGTCGGTTGGAATACTGCCAATGAGGCTGTTGGTAGCGAGGGAAAGTCTGGTTAGTGATGTCAGCAGCCCCAGCTCTGACGGGATCGTAGAAGAGAGCGAGTTGTCAGATAAATCAAGCTCTTGCAACAAGGACAATTGGCTCCAATCGGTTGGAATCGTCCCCGTGAGATACGTCTCGTTGAGCGAAATTCGTGTCAGTCGCGTTAGACTTCCCACTTCTGTCGGGATAGACGTCAACCGTTCATCAGGAAGATCATTGATCTCTGTTGTGCTGAAATCATATGTCCTGATTGGAATGCTAGGAGGCAATGTCTCTGGTGGCGGTTCATCGGGTCCCAACTCCTGCAAGCGGAAGACGCGGACTTGTCCAGATTCCCTATCATCACTGTGGTCCCCTACTGCAACAGTAGTGCCGTAGGTAGATACAGCAACAGCGTACCCTGGAGTTTCGCCGAGAATGCTGTTGCCAAGCTGCACCCATGAACCACCGTCCAACTCGTACACATGGACATGTCCAAAGCCGTAGCCGGCAGTACCAGGGGCTCCAATGACAACTTGGTTGCCATCCCCAGACAACGCAATCGAGGTTCCAAACTTGCTCCTGTAAAGTGATCCAACGATTCTTTGACCAAGTTGTGCCCAATCACCAGACTGGCTGAAGTATCGATAGATACGAGCAAAGCCATTTCCGTCGGCACTCGCAAAATCTTCCGGTGAACTTGCTGCAACAGTCATTCCATCTCTGGAAATGGCCACTGCCTTGCCGAATGTGAAGTGCCTACCGTCTCCCGCAATTGCTTGTCCAAACTGGCTCCAAGTGTTGTTTTCATATTTCATTACAAAGACAACTCCAGACTCATCGTTGGGCCATTCTGACGCTGGGGCGCTAACCACCAAGGAAAGCCCATCACCGGAGAGCTGCAACGCCCACCCAAGTTTGTCCAGCACGTCTCCATTAGAACCATCATTCAAACCATCGCCCATTTGAACCCAAGATTGAATGTCCGATTCGTAGGAGTAAACTGTAGCCTGACCTTGAACCGCTGTGTAATCACCAGTCGTTTCATTGTAATCGTAGGCAAAGTATTCTGGTGCCCCGACGGCCAAAATTGACCCGTCACTGGAAAGGGACACCGCCCAGCCAAACAATCCATCTCGCGGGTAATATGGCTCGAAATCGTCATCTTGCGGTGGCTCCGTCACTCCAAGAATCGTGTCCCCCATGGGCTCCCAACCCTTGTCAGGTCCTTCACCAACGAGACGATAAACATTGACCTCACCGACGCCCTGTTTTACTGGCGACCCCACAGCAAGAACACGTCCATTTTCCGAAAGAGCAACCGATTTGTAGAAACCACTTGAAGAGTCGCCGGGAACTGGCAATGATACCCACGCCGAGTCGTCGACATATTCAAAGGTACTGACGAACGCCGAGTCGTACGGGTCTTCTGGAAGTTCTTGGTATCGATCGGGTATTCCACGTTCTCCCGATCCGACTGCCACCAGTTTCCCATCGCCCGACAGCGATACAGAGGCACCGAAACGGTGCTGCGTGTTGATGCAAGCAAATTCCGTGCAAAGGGTGCCACTCAAATCTCGTCCCACCTGATCCCAAACAAGGGTAGCAGGCGTATCGTCGATGCTTGAATTATTATTCGGATTCGATGTCTCATTTATTGTCGTGTCGTTGCCAGGGGTCGTCAAAGGCCCCGTTGCGCCCGTTGGATCATTGTCATTTTTGTTGCCATTTGTCAATGTCAGACCAAGCACAATGGCAATGGTTCCAGCGGCAATAGCCAACAGGATCAGTGCAACACTAAAGAGAATTTTGCTGCGTTTGGATGACTTTTTGTTGTCGGACGAGGATGGAAAGGTTCGAAGCTGGTTAATGAGATTGTCAATTTCTCGGACGGACTGTTCATTCTGCAGCGAACTGAGGATGCGTCGCTTGTCTTCTTCACTGTACGCTTCGGCTTGCAGACACGATGTTTTGGTCCCTGACAAATCGGGAGGGCTTTTTCCAACGACATGGCTCTTGTCGGGAATGAGTCCAACTTCCTTGGCAAACATGAGCTCGCAAATACACCAAATGCGATTGTACAGATCCACTCGATCGTTCCGTACGACCACAAATTGCTGGGACGCCCGAAGTGCCTGCAAAAAGGGGGCGTCCTGCAGTGAGTTTCCCACTTGTTTGGCCACGGTCGCGGGACAGCCTTGTCGAAGCGCAAAGGCGCAGATCCATAGATTGGGTTTTCGAAAGGACGTGGCAAATGCATCGGATATAGAATCGACAAAAAAGGAGAATGGTTCGTCCCAACAATGCGTAATGAACGCTTCTACGGGCAGTCCATGCGGGTTCAACTCGAGGGCCACACTGGTGCCCGATTTCGTGCACCTTGGAATTAAGATTTTATCACAGATATCCCGCATCGTGGCCGATTTGGCCAGGCGCGGTCCCAGAGCTTTCTTGGCTTCTTCCTGGAACTGAAGCAGTTGGTCTAATGTGATTGACCACTTGGAAGGATCGTCGTTCACATCCTTGTCGATACTACTATTATCTTCAGGGTCGGGATCTTTGTGTTCTCCAGCTGCAGCAAACTTCATTTCAACCTTCAAGTCGCCTGTCTCGTCCACCTTGGTATCTTCTGGATTGGGGTCTCTTAATGACATGCTGATAGGTATTGGTATGAGTATGGTGAAGGATGGGTATGGGTATGGGTATGGGTATGGTGAAGGATGGAGTTGGGTTGGGACCAATGACGACGACGAGGGTATCCTCCTGTGATTTATGGCTGGGGGTGACTACCGCTATACCGTATAAACAGGATGGACACAGCTGAAGCGGAGCGACAAAACGACAGCAGTTGCTGCAGATAATAGACAAACTTCTATTTGAGTGACTGACTATTATCGAGGCTGATGGGATAAGCTAGCTATTACCTTTGTTGATCTTGTTGTCTTTCGGCTTTGGCAATTCAGTGGCGACAACAGCAATCCCACAAGTTGGGTAGACTACTGCTCTTATTAGTCCCCAACTTGTCCCCCCTAATCCCAACTAACTACTAGTTTCGAATTTTCACCTCTTCCTTTCATTGGCTGCCCCCCATCGCTCCCGTCAAATATTTCCCTCAATAAAACCCCCCGTAATTGATATAAATGTACCCGTACCAGGGTGAGGGATGACTGGATCCGGAACACAGTCTGTCAGCCTTCCGGAAAGATACGCTTTTATCATAGAGTTAGTTAGGGAGACATCAGCGACCATTTCGATTGAAACATGAAACGAGCAACTTGAAACTCGACTTGCCTTGCCAGCAGCTCTGTCATCCTTGGGACGAACGATAGCCATGATAACTCTGGCTGGTAGATGTACATCCAGAATGACAACAAAGATCATCCTGCCTCAGACCCCGTATTTTTGTTGGTGGTGGTGAAAGCAGTGGTACCGGTACCGGTAGTTTGGCGGGGATGCCAATGCCTTCCAGGATCCTTTCCTTTGCAATTGGCAAAGCAATTGATGCAACGGCTTGAAACTAATCAACCGGTTGACTATTTGATAAGAGGGGCTGGTACTAGTACAATAGAGAGAGGAATGGTGATCTAAATTATCTAGCACAACAAACTTGCACCCACTAGTCAACCAACAACCAACCATGCACCATGCACCAGCCAGGCTCTTGCTGTCTACACCTTTTACAGTGGTACTCCGGAGTGCGGAGTACCTGGTACTAGCCAGCAGATGGATGTGGTATCTGTGCATAAGTCAGCTCTCGATGCCGAAAGCCGTACGACTGTACGTAGTCGAGTCAGAGTCGAGTCTCACTCGACAACCTGGTACTAGCTAGTACATGTAGCGAGTTGCCACGTACATGTACAGGTACCATGCACTCGAGTACATGTATATATGTAGACTAGCTCGCTAGAGACTACCGTACTCGAGTACTAGTATTTACTTTAATAAAATTAAATGTTTGGCCGGTAGCCGGTACAGCCGGTACAGCGTACTAGCTAGTACGCTGTAGAGGCAGGTGGGAAGGCAATGGAAGGACAGAAAAATCCCAGAAAGGTGAAAGAAACGAAAGGAGAAGATGTATTCCTCATTGATAATCATCATGTTCCCTATCCTGAGATAGCGTCTCAGTGTCTCAGCTTGTCAATCAGTGGTCAAGAGCTGGTCAAGTAGAAAAGTCTTAAAAGCCAGTTTGGCTGGGCTATTGAATGACCAGAAAAAGAACTCCAAGCAAATTCCTTATGTCTATTGGCTTGCTGGTTCGCTGGTTCAGCTCTGGTTCGATGTGCCGGGGTCATCGCAGATGGCAATGGTTCATTGTCCACTTTTCTAAGAAACAACGGCAACACGTATGCCAACCTTTGGGTCTTCGCCTCTCTTCTCTTCAGTGTGGATCAGCTGAGCGAGGACTCAGTCATCGCACGGCTTCTCACATCTTCTTAGAGTCTTCCATCTGGACCAGCCACAGCCTTGCTTCGAAAGAGGTGCTACGAGATACCCATTTGGTTCCTATTCGATTGACTTGTATTCATCTACATCTACATCTACATCTACCTTATCAAAAAGATGCGCCGCTGGTCCAGTGCAAAATCGAGTGGAGGTTTTTCTTCTGGTTCTGCTCGTGTTGTCAATGCTGATCAGGGCAACGAGGAACTAGACGGCAGTGAGCTGTCTCCAGATGAGTTGCTCGAAATAGTCGCCATTCGAGTATCTGACGCTTCACAGTACTCTGCATGTACTAGCGCTGTCTTTGGCATCAATGAGAAAGACCTGCAAGTGCAAAACAAAATCGAAAAACAAGCAGCCACCACCACGAACCTTGGCAATGACGAGGTAAGTCGCACATGCCCGCTCTGGCTGCTGAAAGAGGAAAGAGGTGCGAATGGGTAAGAGTCTCACAGTTTAGTTTCTCTGACTTTCCCCCGTCCAGGTCCAGGAAGGTCCCTCGAGATCCAAAAGCGACAAAGCCAAAGTGCCCCCGTCATTCGGTGCTACGACTACGACGACTAAGAAGAAGGACGACCTGAAGCTAGCTTTGACAGGAGGCCAGCAGGGGTCAGCAGACGCCTCAGTAGTGCTGCGCCCAGGATCGCCAGGTCTGCCCCAGCCAACGTTGCAACGAGAGCAACCGCGACAGCTGCACCCATGTCCAGGTGCATACATGGAGAGACCGGGAGGCAACGTGGAAAGGGCTGATGCTCTCCGAATATCGCTTGTGCGTCCCGAGGATCATCAAGCCATGGATACCATCCCTCAAATTGTGTCTGTTGCCGCGGATAGTATCCCTCAAGCTGTGCCTGTTGCGGCCGAGCTTGCACAAGACGAGGAAGCCACGGCCATGAAACTGAAGGAACTCGAAGCCAAAACAATCGAACTGGCGGCCAAGACGGAAGAAATCGAACGTCTCAAGCGAGACTTGCAGAATCTTCAGGACAAAATACATGTAGCAGAGGTTGCCCCGGTGACTGCGGTCCCTGCTATAAGGGTCAACTCACGGGGTCGTTGCGACGTAACCAATGAAGTGGAAGCCTTTGTCCTGGATCCAACCCAAGAAGCCCTGGTTGTCACTACTACGAGATCTTCAGCTCCTGCTATTACTACCACCAATTCCCATCAAGTGACGGCCAACAAGTTGCGATTTGCATCCCTTGGCTTGATTGGTCGAAGTCAAGAGGAGCAAACACTGGCAGCCTGCCTCCATCGGGCCACACAGACCAAGACGCGAGAACTGGTGCTCATCAGTGGCAACTCGGGAGTGGGGAAAACAGCCCTGGCCATGACATTGCAGGCAAAAACATGCAAGGAAAAGGGGCTGTTCATTTCGGGAAAGTTTGATTTCTGTCTTCGCGATGATCCCTACACCGGTGTCGCATCAGCCTGTCGTGACCTATGTTCTGACTTGTCTTTGATTGACGAGTTTTGTGATGAGATTGTAGAGGAACTTGGGTCTGAACTTACCATCCTCGTCAAGATTTTGCCAGAACTACAAACGATTGCGCGGAACAGGAACCTGCCAAACCGTGAGAACAATAGTGTCGCTGAACGCAGTCTTGGTCATCGTCAAGGCCTGGACGAATCCAAGAAGCAGATTGCATATGCATTCCGACGATTCTTTCGTGCCGTTTGTTCGTTCTTCCCGTGCTTGGTGCTCAGTTTGGACGATATCCAGGTAAGATAAATGAGAATCATGACTGGCAACCCGAGTTGTTTTGGATGCCTCGCTTTGAGCCGACACCACCTCACAATGTTGTCGTCTACGCCTCCCCATTCAGTGGGCTGACACTGCATCGTTGGACTTGCTCGAATCGCTGGTTACGGACGACAAGATTTCCAATTTGGTTGTGGTCGGCTGCTTCCGCGCCAATGAGGTGGACGAAACACATCTTGTTAGTAAGATGATTAGAGATCTCCAAGCCAATGGAAACACGGATGAATCCTTTCAGATCACTCAAGTCTCCATTGGCAATCTCGAACTACCGAACGTACGCCAAATGCTCATCGAATTGCTCTCCATGAAAGACTCGGACGAAGTTGCCGCTTTGGCACAGGTCTGCCACAAAAAGACGCATGGGAATGCCTTCTTCCTTGTTCAGTTCGTTTCTCACCTTCACGAAAAGGGCCTACTGGAATACTCTTGGCGATTGCTGAACTGGACTTGGGATGTTCCAGCAATCACGGCCAAGACTGGTTCTACTTCCAACGTGGTCGATTTGCTCAAGAACAAAATGGAAGATTTGTCGAATGATAGCATGGTCCGACTCCTTCCAATTCTGGCTTGCATGGGGTCGTCGGTGGAAGAATCAACATTGGCGGTTGTATGGGATGCCTGCTGCAAAGATCAAGGCGATCATGATGCACCACTTACAACGCTCTTAGCTACTGCTGTCGAGGAAGGTTTTCTGGAGAAACGTGGACAATCCACATACCAGTTTGTGCATGATAAGGTGCAGGAGGCTTCATTTTCCCTAGTCGATTCTGAACACATGGTGAAGCTCAAGTCAACCGTGGGCAAGGTTCTGGCAGAGTTTGATGAAACGGCTTTCGAGGTACATCTGTTTGTCGCGGTCAATCTTCTGAATGAAGGATGTGTGCCAACATCTCTTCGTGAACGCATTCAGCTAGCTTCCCTCAATTTGCAAGCTGCAAAGAAAGCCGTGGTATCATCAGCCTTTGTCAGTGCTTCGAAATATGCATTGGCAGGGATTGAGCTCTTGCCGGCCTGCAAGTGGGGCGACGAGCACTACCAGCTGACATTGGAACTCTTCTGTTTGGCTTCTGAAGTGCAGGGATATCTTGGCCATGTCAAATCAATGGAGTACCACTGCGATGAGGTGAAGGCGCATGCTCGATGCCTTTCTGACACTTTCCGTGTCCAGAATGTGCTCCAAGATAGTCTACTGAACAGACACCTCAATGAAGAGGCATTGGCGCTGGGACTGAATCTCTTGAAGAAGCTAGGCCATAACTTCCCCAAGGGACAATGGTCCATTAAAGCTGCAACCGTTGCTGGTATTTTGAGGACGAAAGTGAGCATCAGCCCAAAGTTCCCAGAGAGGATCGAGTCCCTTCCATCCATGACCGACCCAATGAAGATTCAAATCATGCATACCTTGGATAAGTGCTGCACAGCGGCCTACCTTCTTATGCATGACATCTTTGCTCTTCTGATCTTCAAGAATATCCAGCTCACCCTCCGCTATGGGCTATCTCAATATTCCCCCCCTGCCTTTTCCTTCCTTGCCTGTATCCTGGTTGGAGGGCTCAATGATTTCAACAATGCATCAATGGTGGTATCATGTGCAGAAAAAATGATGGCCAAGAGCCGAAACACAGCATCTCGAACTGCATTCGTTTCGAGTTGTTTGGTCCTACCTTGGGTAGATCCATCACAGAACTGTCTGAAGGTAAGATTGGTACTACGGCTCCCTTCAGTTAAAAGTACGCCTGTGGCGGAATGCCATTTCCTAAGCAACTTCCTTGTTTCGTGTTTTAGAAATTGGTCAATGGCTACTATGATGGCTTGTTCACCGGTGACACTGACAGTTCTATGTGGTGCATCAACGTGTACATTGGCATTGGCTTGCAGTCGGGAAGGAACCTTGCTCTGTTGGAGGCGGATTGTGCAATCTACATCAAGCAGATGCAAGAATTTGAGCGGGTGAAGATTGCCAAATTTACCCAAATGTATGCCCAGGTGATTGCAAACTTGACACAGCAATATGAGTTTTCAGCAACAGAAGAGGCATGGCCACTAGTTGGATTAGATGAGCATCTCTACAATGATGACGACATCATGGTTGACTTGGGAAAGGAGTTTCAAAACCGATTGTATGCAATACTCGGTGAGCACGCCGGTGGTGCAGAACTTTCGATAGCAAGAGGAGACAGGTTTCTAAAGGGGGCTCCAGGGTGCTACCATCATATCCCTGATGCTTTCCATCGGGGACTTTCCCTCTTTGCAATGGCCCGGGAAACAAAGAAACGCAAGTACAAACGGCATGCTCAGAAGCAAAGGGCACTCATTGGGGCGTGGACCAAGAAAGGCAATCCAAACACAATCCACTACAAGCACCTTCTAGACGCTGAGAATGCTGCTCTCAAGGGTCGCGTATCTCAAGCAAAGGAATTCTACCGGAAGGCTGTTGCAACGTCATCCCGTGCAGGGTTTGTGCATGATGCTGCCTTGGCATGTGAAAGGTTTGCAGAGTACTTGCTTCATGATCTGGAGGACAAAGAAAGTGCTGCTCTTCAAATGAGGGAAGCCATTCGCTTTTACGCCGAGTGGGGGGCCACCAGAAAAGTTGATATGGTGCGGAATAAGTACCCCGATCTGTTGCGTCCAAACTAGTTCCATGCTGGGGAGTTTGATTCCAATCGACTTTCTTGATGGCACGTACCGTATACGCGTAATCCAGCAACTCTAGAGCTCGTATTTGTCTGAGCCAGCATCTAGCTCGTATTTGTCTGCTCGGGATTATGGATTCTCAGAGTCGTATCGTCACTTCCACCCTACCGGTACACCGAATCGGCGAAGACGTCCTTCCACTTCATGACCGGCCACCGACGGAGAGCTTCGGTTGAGGCTCCAAAAACTCCCTCGAGACTGCGGCGCTCGTATCAACCTCTGACTATACTACAACGTGCCTCAGCTTGGCTATTCGGTGTGGATGAGGGGGGCAATCGAATGCAACTCGATCGCTCCAGTTCTTTACGAATTTCATGCATTGCTTTTATGAAGCGACTTTGCTTCCTCGCAAATAAACGTAAAGGGATCTGATGTTTCTCGTTCATAGAAAGACTCCTGGACGAAGACGGGAGCTGCTGCGCTCGGATCCTGCTGCAAGACAACTTTTGTGCGGTACCACGAAATCGGAGCTAGCTAGTATCTTGAGATGATGTCAAAGACAAGCACGTGGCAACCGTCATCCAACCCGCAGCCGCCACAAGAGGGCCCAAAGAACGACAGAACAATGGTGATGAAGCTGGGAGCCAGCCCGAGGGACTCTGGTTGTCAGCATTGCAAGTTTTGGCGAACACGGGATGCAGAGTGGGCATTGGGAAGAACCGAATCACCAAACTAAAACCCGGAGCCTGCCTCTTTCGCGACTGACAACCCCTACCGTGGTTGTCTGAGCTGCATACATGAGGAATTTCTCGGTTTTAGTTTGGTGATTCTTCCACTGCCTCTCAGCGACGGACGTGCCTATACTGTCATTGTCTCGAAAAAGCTGAAGCAACTGAAGATACATTGAACCGTAGCTACAACTAGCCCGCGTTTCTATGCCAGGCAGCAGTGAACCTGGACTATAATGTAAATGTCGTGAGTTTCTATTATGCTTTGCCCCTGAGAAAGGACTATAAACTATGGTTTCAATAGCTGGCTGATTTTCGTGTTTGCGTGTGTAGTCATAAAATCGGTTGAGATAGAATCCTTCACTGCGAAGGAGACTTCAATGTAGGAAGGAGGGGTGGAAAACGCGACAAGATTTCTTGTTCTGAAATGAAAGCCTCCTGTTTCCGGATGACAGTCTTCTTGTGGTTGGATTGGTTGCGACGGTGCTCCAGCAAGGACTTGTGAAAGGAAGAGCCAGGTTGGATGGAGAGTCCCAAAAAGTCGTACAATTTGGTCACTTCTCGGGGAATGTCCTGCACAAAGTCCTCAAACTGGATGATATGCTTGGCTGCTGACGAGGAAGCACAAAACTCGGCCTGTTTTTGATGCCACCGAGCCATGACATCAATGACATCCTTTCTGACTTGGGGAATCTGCATCACATTGTGTCCAGCCATTTGCTCACTGAACGCGCCCTGCAGCTTGAGCCAGGACGGCAACTGTTCCCTGGGATCCCTCACAATGATGGCATACTTGGCATCCGGATACACTCGCTTGGATTGCTCCAAGAGACCATTCCAACATGCCACCCACTTGCACAGGTAGCGCTTGCCACGCCCACGGCGGTACATCATCTTCTGCACGCATCTCTGATGGAATTTCATCATGCGGACACGAGAAGTTTCGGGAAGGTCGCCAAATTGGTAGAGCATCTTGGCATGGGATGGGAAGAACGCAGTCAACAACAAGTGGTAAGGACCGTGGAACAAGAGGAGGTTATCATCTTCGTCTGGCAAGTCATATCGAAGGCGCCTCATTTGCTTGCGTTGTCCCGACTCTGGCAAAAGGTTGAGCACTCCCATGCGAACGGCCAAGTTGTAGCCTTGCCCTCCCAAGCAGAGCTGGTCCATCTTGTTCAAGAAATCGACGAGATACTGAACGGTAAGATAGGGGAAGCGAATCTCATACAAGTACATGGAGCAAAAGGAGTCCTGATCTGCGGACAAGACATCCTGGAACTTGGTAGTTCCCGACCGTGGCTGTCCCAAGATGAACAGAGGCTCCTCCACTTTGGTTGCCTTGTAGCCAGAGAAGAGAATCTCATCAAGATACCAAAGCACACATTCCAGTGGGAATCTGACAAATGTCATCCAAGCAAGAACGGCAATGCCAATGAGGTTGAAGCGAAGGGGTAGACCGTCATGTCTTCCACTGAAGTTACGCTTGGCCAGCTGGCAGATGATGCCCCAATCGGCAACAGGACTTGCGGTCCATGTCACAATGTAAAAGGCAGTCACGAACTTGGCATAGGGTGACATGACGTATGCCAGAGCGCCCAGCACGAAAAATGCATACCATCGAGGTGGAAGCAACGGAAAGTCGTCATTGTCATTGGTCATGCTTGTGTCATTCTGGCTTGCCTCGGCAATGCTGCTGTCACTGTCGGTATTACTAGTAGTAGATTCAGAAGACGTTGAACTGGTGGAGTTGAAACGGCGCAGCTTCCTGTTCGTCTCTGCACTTCCGGTACCCGTAGTAGCGGTACTGTCAGTGGAGCTGTCAGTGGTCGGTTTCTTCATGTTGCCGGATGATGTCATGGGCTTTTGCTGTGTACGGTAAAGCGATGCGGCGGTTCTTTCAGGTTTGCTTGAATGTCGGTGGAAGGAAACTATGAAAGGAGGATCGACTGATGATGCGATGAGGTTTTGGAAGGAACGAAACGGAACGGTCCTCTTGATTGATGGGGTGGGAACAAACGTTGCAACGTTGCTTCAACTAGCTGGCTAGAGTGTTGGTTGAGTTAGTCTTGCGCTTGGTCGCCACATGAGCTTTGTTTCATGAGTTACACCGGTCGGCTTGTTCCAATGTTCCAAGCAGTACCGGTACGTGTACCAGTGTTAATTAAGGTGGCCGTGAAAACTTACCGGAAATGCGACACGTGTACATCACTAGTACTATTTGTCACCGCAGGAATTAACAAAGATGTCACCGGTTGAAAGTACAGTCGTATTACTAGTACAAAAGACAGTCTAAACACAGTACTCTGGAGTAATAAAGATTGCTTTCGAAGTCATCGAAATCACTAGGCTTGCATTTTTTAAAAGTCCTACACAAAACACAAGTCTTTTACTACGGCTTCGGGTTGAATTGGCCAGAATGGGCTTGGGAAGAAAATTGAGGGTGCCCGGAAGAGAATTCAAGGGGGTGGGAAGAAAATACGACCCCTCGGAACGAAATTTACTTAGAGGTCATTCTCTGTTTACGGACAGAGCTACCCGTTTGAAAAAATGAGAGGATTGCACCGGGGTTCGGATTTGTCTCTCAGTAGGAATTCTACACGGCAAATCGGATTTTCTTCCCAGGGGCCTCAATTTTCTTCCCGAGCCCATTCTGGCCAATTCAACCCGAAGCCGTAGTATTCTTTTTTTAAAAATACCGTTGGACAGCATTTATTTGGTCGACCAATATTTGCGCAAATATTTAATATACGGTACCCGTAAGCATTGCAATCCACTTCGCTTCCGTATCTGGCACGTGCCAAACAGTATTGCCAAAAAGAAAAAGGAATCTTCCAACATTTTTAATCTTCAAGCTTCAAGTCATTGCAGAGAGTTGATGCCATTGGACATCCAGCCGTGATAGATTGTCACTCGATCGGTCGAGTCGAGTCCAGGAAGACAACTTCGGAGTTGAGGTAGTTGCGGTAAGTAGTACTTTTAATTAAGACAAAAATGCATAGTAAAACTTAACTACTAGTATAACCCTATTATTACCGCAACTACCCTTCGAGTCCTCAGTCTCGACGACTCCCCCCGCGCCACCCACCGCACGGAACATCGAAGCGGCTATTGATCCATAACCTAGCTAGCTAGAATCAATCGAATCGAGGCAGCTCTCAATAATTGTTGGGTATCACAAACCACGATGGACACCCCCCAAAAATATTCACCCATGTTCCTCTTCCTGGCCTCTGCCGTTGCCATCCTGATCACTGCACTTATTCAAGTGTACCGCCGCCTCAAACCGTACCCTGTCGACAAATCTATCCCCGGTCCTCCCAGAGAACCTTTCTTGGGAATTCTAAGGTTCCTCATGACCAACTTTGAGGACTGGCCCAACACAGTACACCAGTGCAGCGAAAAATATCAGCAAACATGGGGCGGCCCCATGCCCTATCTGGGCAGCATGCAAGGGGCCTATTTTATACTCACCGACGACAAAAATATTGAACACATACTCAGCAAAAACTTTGAGAGCTACGAAAAGGGGAAGCAGTTTCAAGATGCAATGGCCGAACTTTTAGGAAATGGAATCATTGGGGCCGATGGATCCACATGGTATCGTCACAGAAAGATTGCCTCACGCATGTTCTCTGCCAATCTACTAAGAGAAGCTTCCAAAGTCACCTTGAAAAAGGTTTCAGAGCTTTCCCATGTTCTTCAGGATGCTGCAGACACTGGCAAGGAAGTTGATATCCAAGATCTCTTTTTTCGACTGACCTTTCATATCACATCGGCTGTGGCTTTCGGGGTGGAATACGGAAGCATCCAACAAGAAAAACAGCATCCATTTCCTCTAGCATTTGACGAAATGCAGGTACTGCTCTTGCAGCGGTTTCAGGATCCTCTCTTTCCACTCAAGCGATACTTCAGTTTAACCCACAGAGAGAGAAAAATTCAACAGCTCAAGGTCGTCTTGGACCGTCATGCCAAGGAGGTCATTCAAAGCCGCCGGCGAACTGCCAAAGATGGAAAACTGGGTCCTGATCTTTTGAGTCGCTTTATTGACTATGCCAATACCCAAAATGACCCTATTTCAGATGAGGAACTGAGGGATGTCGTCATGAATTTCATGTTGGCTGGTCGTGACACTACAGCTGCCGCTCTTTCATGGACATTTTATGAACTCAGCAATCACCCAGAAGTTGTGGAAAAGGTGCTGCAAGAAGCAAATCAAATTTGTGGCACTGTTGTTAGTGGTGACAACAATGATGGAGACTATTCCTATGAAGCCATTGGAAAGCTGGAATATGTCCACGCTGTTGTGATGGAGGTTCTTCGCCTGCATCCTTCCGTTCCGGCTGAAGCCAAATATGCGGTGCACGATGATGTTCTACCCGATGGAACCTTTATTCCCAAGGGAGCTGTTGTGGGGTATCCACCTTATGCCATGGGAAGGAACACTCGTATTTGGGGCAGTGATGCCAATGAGTTCAAGCCATCCAGGTTTTTGAACAGAAAAGAACCCACACCATTCCAATTTCCAGTCTTCAATGCAGGAAGGAGGCTGTGTCTTGGCAAACCCATGGCCCTCAACACATTGAAATTGACAGTGGCCTATCTAGTTCAGAGATTTGAATTGAAAGACACCCAGGGACATGATGGGACCTACAAATGGAATTTTATTTTAAAGATGAAGGGAGGCTTTCCAATTCAAGTCACCGCTCGACAACCATGAGGATGGCAAGCTGGGGAATCGAATTGTAGTGGGCTAGCTAGCTACCGTATCTATCGAGATAAAACTATAAAATATTGTCCGTAATGGGGAAGGAGTGGTGCCAGATTGACTCCATGGCGGCTATGAATAGCTACAGATAGAGCCACGAGCAGCTCGGCTGTGGTGTGGTACCTGGTGGTACCGGTACCGGGACTGGTGTGCATGGGTGAGATGACACTTCTTTTGGGTTCTCGTGCAATCTTAAATGGTCGTGGTTAGGGCTAGGGGTATCTTAGTACGTCAGTCGGAAAGAATTCGAGTTCATTCGCATTGGCTTTTTTGAAGCATCACCACAACACCACAAACAATCGCAGCGAAAGGGCAGCAACAGAAAGCAAAGGTAGGCTATAGAAGACCTGCTCATCTCAACATGAGCATGACTTCCATGATAGGGAAAGCTGTTGGACTGGGAAGTGTTGGGTTGGGTGCCTCTGCAATTTTTCGGTATCAGCAAATCCTGCAACGAGAAGAGCAACTCCCGAGCAAAGCGCATCCACTCTTGCCTGGTGTCGCGAACAGCAACAGTAGCAACGGTAAAAAGAATGCGATTGTCATTGGAGGTGGCGTGGTGGGTGTAACAGCCGCGTACAAGTTGGCTCTGGCAGGACACTCCGTGGCTCTTTTGGAACCCAGAAGTGAACCTGGTCAGGAATGCAGCGCTTGTGCTGCGGGAGGAATGCAACGGTCCAACCCCACCGTGGACAAGGACACTTGGATGGCAGTCCTGCAATCCATTGCGCCTTGGAAGTCAGGGTCTGGAGACTTCAAGTTTTTCCACATTGACTGGTGGAAGACCCTGTCAGATCCTTTGTTTGCTAGATGGATCTTTACGTTTACCAGAACCAGTTTGTTTCCTGGACCAGAACAGCAAGATAAGCAACAGCAAATGCTAGCCTTTACCAAATACGCAGTAGAAGACATGGTCAAAATGATGAAAGATCCAAACGATAACATGGCAGTCAAGTCTGGATTCAATCCAAGAGGGAGCCTCAACCTATCCTACCAGCAGCCAGCTCAGACAAAAACGGTGTCACACCCATCTGGAAGTATAAAACGGGCCGTGGAGCCCGTCCAGGAACTGATCAACGACCAAATAACGGAACAAGAGCCAAGTATAATTTTCCAAACAGTGAAGCCAACAACTGCCAAGTTCCAGTACGAATCTTGTGCCGCCAGCTCGGAACGATTCACCCAGGAACTGGCACAACGATGTAAAGACTTGGGCGTCACGTTTCTGTACGATACCACGGTCAAGGCCATTCAGGTGGATCAGAAGGACAACAGCACCAACAACAACAACAACAATAAACCCCGTATTTCCCAACTGGTCACCAATCGTGGCGTCGTCCATGTGCCGGAAAACACCGACGTTGTGGTGGCTGCTGGTGCTTGGGTGCCTCATGTTTTGGCGCTCCTGGATCTCTACGCCCCCGTCTACCCACTCAAGGGCTACGCCATGTCCGTCAGTGCCAAAGACGCACTCGCGTCCAACAAGCTACTCAAAGAACAAGATCTGCCGTCACGGATTGTGTCGGATAAGTAAGTCCCCCGTCAATTGATGTCTTGGATACCACCGTACCGTACCTCGCGGTATTGACCAGCATTCTGACCTCCTATTCCCTGGCTGCTCCGTCTCCCATCTGCATACTCGATCATTCATTGCATCACTTCAGATACATGTTCACCTCTCGACTCGGCGACGAGATTCGAATCACATCCATTGGCGAATTCAGTGGATGGTCCACCGTGCCCAACCAGAGTGTCGAAGCGGAAGTTCGACGGGAGGCAGTGCGTCAGTTTCCTCAACTCCAAAGTTTGATCGAGAAAGCGCCCACACGGTGTGGCCACCGCCCGTATGTCAGCGATGGCATTCTCTTGCTGGGACGAGCCGATACCCACGAGAATCTTTTGGTCAGCTGCGGACCTGGCTCGAATGGTTGGAAGCTGGCCATGGGCTCGGGAGAAGTGATCCAGCGACTCGTCTCGGGCGACACGGAGGAGCAAATCTCGCAAGACTTGGGATTTGATGTCAGGACGTTCTCTCCAGGAAACGGTCGCGTCTCGAAGGCGCCCCTGTTTGCCAAGCTCTGTCGAGCCCGTTGGGATTTATAGTAACGACACAGACGACAACCACACTTTTGCTAGCTAGCCGCTACTGCTGAAGCCAAGACTATGCCATCCCATGTAGAAAATCACCAAAGCAGATATAGTAATAATAGTCACAAAATCATTATAGGGAACGTTTAGCACTAGCTAGCACTAATACACAGCTCGTTCATTCTTCATTGTCGTCTGTTTTTCAATAAAAAGTGAATGAATGTTTCAATCACTCACTCAGTCACGGGCTCGGTCGCATTTATCCATTGCCGCCGTGGTTGTTGTCGTCTCTTTTGGTAATCAGCACACTTCCACTCCACAACTTAGATGTAACGATTCTGCTTCATAAAAGTATCCAAATCGGTGAATCCATAGTGCTGTGGAGCTCGAGAGGAGTCGACATCCTTTCCAGAGAGTTTTCCATCGACGACATATTCCTTCTTGATCATTTCTTGACACCAGACAATGACTTCATCCATATTGGGTGTGGGTACTCCGGCGAGCTCGGCAATGCCCTTGGTGACGACCAATCCCATGGGGATATCTTCCGTGTAGTAACGGTACCTAAAGTTGGGCACGTATTTCTTGCCTTCCGGTGTGTCCACTTCCGACATGGGATGCGAGAGTCCACGGTATCCCTTGTTGGAGTGCAGCATGGTGTAAATGTTGGTCTTGTCACCAATATCATCCCCGTAGGATCGGAGCATCCAGTCTCGAACATGTGTGAGTGAAGACAAATCCAAGCCGGGGTACTTTTCGAGCAAGACGCGCTTGACTTCCAAAACTTCGTCGCTGACCTTGGCAAGCATTTCGCCCGTGTACTCGTCGGCACCTTCGTAAAAGGGTGGTGGTTCATCGAATGGCTTGGTAATGTCGTGATTACGGAAGAATCCGTACGAGATGGTGGGATGCCATACCGAGTTGATGTTCATGAGAGTGACCGCGAGAAAGTTGCAAGCGGGCTTCAAGATGGGTTCTTTGCCAATCAATCGTTGCAGCAATCCCAAGACTTCGTTCACAGTGGAGCCGTCCTAATAGAATTGAAAGAAACATGGAAAGGAAACATGAGATCAGATGCACAACAACAATGATGGACTGGATTGATTGCGTCTTTTTTTGTGTGCTTGACTTACCTTGGGAGAGACGACAATGTCAATTTCCTTTTTGGTTCCAAGAACTTCAACGGATGTGCCGTACTCCTTGATCCGACAAGCCCAAGGCAAAGTCTCTAGCGCAAATAAATTGGACGCCTTGACAAAGTCTCCACCCAGATTGTGAATGGCACAAAGATCAAATCCTCCTTCACCAGGCATGGATCCCAAGGTGACGCCTCTCTTCAAGTGGGGCTTGAGTGCCTTGAGGTACATTTCGTGTGTAAAGGAAGGAAGGGCAAAGATGACGACATCGGCTCCTGGAATCACTTCGGCAGGATCGTCCGAGACAATGGAGGGTTTTCCAAAGACATCGTCTCCCAAATCATTGATGCACTGAATTCCCTTTTCCGGAATGGCATTGCGCAAACGCTCGGCTTCTCCGGGAAACAGAGACAACACACACACTTCATCAATCTCATCTTTGGAAGAAACATAGGCAGACAGAACATGAATGGCATTGCCACCGCCGCAGAGAACAACCTTCATTGTGGGAGTTTGTAGTTTTGGTTGGGTAAAAGAAAAAGAGTTGGTTTTGGTTTTGTTTTGGTTTCTCGGTTGAGAAGGATACTTTTTGTGAGCCTCTCATCAACACGAACAAATCCTTTTCTCGTGATGGTCGAGTTCGGATCCTCCTCATTTCCACGGTGGACATGCATGAGAACTCAAATGACCGGCGGGAGGGAGAAGCCTTCCTCGGGTCGGGTTCGGGTGCACTTGTGCATGAATTAAAAATGAGAACCCTCCAAAAAGCGTTCTTCAACAGAATGCTTTTTCTTCGAGAATCAGAAGATTTAACATTCTAGCATGATGGTTAAGTATTTCATAACCACAGAATGGGAACGGGAAAGTAGTCACTAAACATAATGATTAGGGGGGAGAACATTGCACGCCGGGTGCCACACCGATGAAAGATCGTGCCAACAAATCCAAGCCAAATAATGCGAACTATCTCGGATGAGAAGGCAACCAGCCACAAAGATCCACGATCCTGCTTCCAAGGTACCGGTATCTTTCGCCTTTGACTTGTCAACATGAATGACTCTACTTTTAGAATAAGAGAGCCAATAATTTCATTGCTAGTAGCTAGCTAGCTGTCATAGTGGCGAAAATAGGTAGCCTTCGCTTTCCAATCTCTGGTACCGTACTGCCAGCACTTCCATGAGATAAAAACAAAGATAGAGCATCAGCCATCCAACCACAAAATCCAAACACAACCCAAAAAAGTTTCACACTTTCATCCTTTTTTGTCAAGTTGAGTTGAAAAAAGTCAGTTGACCATGGTGGGCCGAAAGCTGCTAAGGCACTTGAGTTCTTCCTTTGCCGATGAAGATGGACTTCACGGATCTTACTCCAAGGCGTTTACAGGCACAGTGGCACAGTCTCCGAATTGGTCTCCCAAAGTGGGCAGGCATTTTGCAGCCAGGAATCGCAAGAACAAGAACAAAAAAGTCAAGACTACTGTATCCTCCAAGAGCAGCAGCAATGACAGTGATCCTGGAGAATACAAGCCCTTAGTGTCCTTCATTGTGGTCTACACCATGATCTTCTTCAATGGATGCTGCTTCACTGCGGTTGTTCCTTCGGTACCCTTTTATCTAGAAATTCTCTCGGCTCCTCCTTCCTTTTTAGGTTGGGTTGTCTCCTTCTACAGTGTGGGACAACTCATTGGATCTCCGACGGGAGGTTGGTTGGCCGATAAAATGTCCGCCAAGTGTCTCCTCACTATCAGTTCCACACTGGGATTTGTCTCTTCCGTAATCTACTCTCTGGCACCCGCCTACATGTTGATCCTGGTGGCCCGATGGCTCACGGGAATCAGTGCCGGAATGGAATTTGCCACGGAACTCGCCTTTATTGCCAAGAATACTACCAAAAAGCAACGCACCATTTACTTGGCATCGGTCACGGCCGTCAATGTCGTGGGATTCATCCTAGGACCGGCATTGGCCGGGGCTCTTTCCACCTTGAATGTCACCATTATGGGCATTACGGTCGACAAGTACACTGGACCGGGATGGTTATTGGCCATTATGTTTGTCGTCGATATCTGTATGGTGCAAGGATTGTTCAAAGACATGGAACTGCCCAAGAATAAAAAGTCACTACGATCCTCCTCTACATCAAGTAGTAGTACCGAAGAACAGAATGGATTGTTGGAAAAACAACAGCAAGGCAAGGGCGTTTCTTACGGTGGTGTCTCCCATGAGGATGACGAGGATGACGACGATGGAGTCGATGCAGAAACCAAGGAAATGATGGCACTCCAACCACTGCGGGAATCCCAGCGTCCACCTGCCTTGCCACTCGTACTTGGACTCATCTTTGTCCAGTTCACCGTCATGTGTGCCTGGTCCGTCCTGGAAACCATTACGTCGCCATTGGCGGCTGACTCCTTTGGTTGGGATGTGCAAGATTGGTACGTGCAGAACATGCATATGCATAAGAACCTTGGAGACTGATTGAATGATTCTATTCAGTTTGTTTACATGCATGATCTCACCATTTTGACTTTCTTTCTATTCTCTTTCCACAGCAACCTTCTCTTTACGGGCGGAGGTGCCGTATCGCTAGTGGCGTATGTCATCTTTGTCGTCTCCTCCAAATGGGTACAGGACCGATGGCTCATTGTCTATGCCCTCATTGTTTGTGTCATTGGACAAATGCTAGCCATTAATTGGCATCAACTCGAATGGGTGCCACAGCCATTCCTCGACATTCTGCCCTCCACGTTCCGCAATCGATTCGTCGCCGGATACATGATTATGAATGCCGGATTCATGACCGGACGACCCGTCACATTTGCCCTCTACTCCAAACTCATTGGATCCGAATATCAAGGAAAGTACCTCGGATGGATGGTGGCCGGAGGATCGGCGGCACGAACTCTCGGGCCCTTTGCAGCAGTGGCATTGTATTACCAAATCAAAGCGGCGGGTGTTAACTTGTTGGCGCTCTTTGGATCCGTTGCCATTTTCCATGTCGCGTGTCTCTTTTTGGTTTTGGGGCTCTGGAAATCACTCCTCCCTTCTGCCAGTATGATGCAATCCATTCGAGCCAGTATGCGAATGAGTGACGTCGATCTCGATGAAGAAAAGGCCAATGGTCACGACGAGGAACATCACACCAATGGGCACTAACTGATCGAACGGTGCCAAGGATGCCTTCTGTGGAAGAGCAATCGGAAGCAAGTGTCGCTTGCTGTCTCTCGAGCATCCTCGAGAATGATTGAGTCCATTCGAATCGGTAGTACCTACACTATACATGTCCTGTTAGCCTTCTTGCTACTCTCTCTAGTAGCGAGAACTGAACTTTGTAACCTAAAGTATATTGGAAACTAGAAGCGGACTTGTAAGTTCAACAGTTACTGTTCTACCCAAAGCTTCCAGAGCCGGGCTTTGGATGCAACAACGATTTGGATTCCTGGCTAGCTGAAAGCACCACGAAATCCAACGTTTTCGCCGACTGCGGCTCGAGTCTCTGCCATCTCGTCTTACCGTACCGGTATCTACCGGTACCGGCGCGGACCTTATCCCCACTTTCCACAGAGTGTTTGGTTTCCGGCTCCTTCTATCCTTGCTACTACCGTACGAGGGTCCGCTGGCTCTGCCCTGCATCCTCTCACCATTCTTTTTTCTCCGTCCCTTGGAGCCTTCTGCGTACCGCCATTACACAGCTACTGGTACTATGGTCTCCGCGCATACCATACCGTAGGTGCAGAGCAATACGGTAGCTACTGGAGCTGACATTACCGTATCCCCATTTTCCCGCAGCGTTTGGTTTCCTGCTCCTTCTATTCTTGGTACTTGGAAGGTCCGTTTGCCTTTTGCTCGTATGGTGTGCTCCTGAGCGAGATCGAAACGCTACGAGTACGACGAGTTCGGTTTGGGACCAACAAACACCCCCTCACCATTCTTTTTCTCCGTCCCGCGGAGGTTCGTTGCAGAGGTTCCGCTCGTTTCGGGCCCTCGATCGGCAAGGCTTCGGGTAAAGACACAGCTCGCTCGCCTGATGAGTGTGATTCCCGTCTCGTGCTCCATGCCGGTAATAAGTGGATTCTGTCAAGACGCCATGTCCCGATATCAATTTTAAAATTTAATGGTAGAGGAACTACTCGAGCTACTGGTACGGTACATTGATGGATGGAATGCAATGGACCGGGCAACATGTACGAATTCACTTTTTGTTGTTGTTGTTTTCATTTCACAGCTTCCGCAGTGGCTCAGTGAGTCAACTGCAGAAGCTGTCTTCCAACATGGGATTGTCTGTCTGTCTCACATACAGTACGAAATAGAATAAACGAAGAGTGTTTTTGTTTTGTGCGGTTGCTTGTGTTGTTGTTGTTCCTGCAAAAATCACTCCAACTTTTTTCTCCCCCTTGTTTTGCCTTGAATTGGAATAATTTACGCAATTTCGGGCAGGAACTTGGACTGAGCAGGCGCCGACGTGTGAGATGCTGCCGCTCGTTGGGATTGTCCAATGACATCTCCATAGGACAACGCCGCATCTAGATCCATGTCGGCATCGGCATCGGGAAACATGGCGGGATCATGATGTCCATAGACACCTCCTCCATTGGCAGTACCGGCAGTGCCTCCTCCTCCATGATTGTGAGCATCGAGTTCTGCCTTTTCTTGTAAATATCGATCAATGACTTGTTTGGAACGATTGACCCGAACGGCGGCAGTAATAACCATGATTACGGCAGCGCCCAACAATAAGAGAATGAAAATGGCGACAATGCCCAATCCTTCTTCGGCGACCTTGGCGGCTTTGTGACCGGCAGAGACTTCTTTTTCAGTATCCGAGGGAAAGGGTCCAATGGCATGGGTATTGCTAGTGCTGGAAGTAGTAGTCGTGGTGGAGTTGTCATCATTGTCTGTGGGTTGTTCTGGTAGTTCTGGTGTAGAGGAGGCCATGTAACCGAGATACGTCTGAAAGGTGTGTTCTGGATTGGCACATTTGAGTTCCCACAGACATTCCTGAATATTGGATTCTCCATTGGAGAGTGATGGACATGTCTCGAGACAGAATTGACAGACTTTGGGTCTTTCTTCCGTTGCAAAAGCATCACAAACGGCAGTCAAAACTTCCGTGGGATCAAGATTTCCTCCTGTCACTTGTTTTCCTTGAACGAAAAGAGCGGGCAATTGCGTGGGAACAGGCTGTGCAATGGCTTCTTCCAGAATGGGCTTTGCTCCCACGGAATGAACTCCATCCGAGTCAGCGCATTTTTGTATGGTTTCAATGTCGAGTCCCTCTTGGACATATCCGTATTCACGGCATGAATTGGACAGAGTCTGTTGACAACCTTCGGCCGCAATGCCATCAAAATACCCAAAATACTTTTGTGGATCATTTACCCCATATTCCTTCCAAATACAGCGTCGGGTTACCCCTTCTTCCAGAAAGTGATTACCGCTGGCTCTCATCTGCTGAGTGATCATTTGCAACTCCAACAAACTGGCATCGCAGTAGCGTCCTCTTACCAGACAATGAAGAGCACACTCGCCGGGTAACTCTCCTTCCAACGGAGAACCATCTTCTTGAGCGCAGCCTCGATCGTGACCTCGTGTCGCCACCATGCGCGGTTCAAACTCAATAGCAGTCGAATGCAACCGAAATACCAACGGCCGCAACGCGTGAATCGCATCGTAGTCAAATCGCGCTTCGGGAGATGTGTAAAAATCCACCGACACCAAATCACTCGCTGCAGTACCAGAAGCCACGTCGTTCGCCACAAACGAAGCAGAGTCAAACGCTGCTTGGACCATGTAGCAACTGGATAGCGTTAACAACAAATATTTCACTTTCATCATCATTGTCATGGTCTCAAAAAATAAATAATTTTGACAGGAAGAGTTTAGTAGTTTGGGTTGACTAGCTAGTGGAGTTGGAATGTTGGAAAATAAATGAATGCTTCCAAGCGGATAGAAACAAGAAGAAATGAAAGCACAGGAGACTCATTCGAGCATGGCATCAAAGAGCGTCCGCTTGAGGAAGCATCTGGTGACGTCACTATACCAAATACTGTAGAAAACTGCTTTGATCGTAAGCAAGTGGGATTGATTACTTAACAGACAGACACAGTTTCAAGGCTACTCGGGAATGCATACAGTGCGAAAGGGTCGCCGAAACTGGCCACAAGAGACCGCTTGGAGGTTGACAGACATTCAAGAAAGGTAAAAGACAATGGATGGTAGGTAAAGATTGTTCCTTTCGCCACATTGTCATGTGTGGAGGCACGGGCAGGACGATGCATAGCAGCCTGCACGAACACTGTACCGGTACTAGCTAGCTAGCTACTTGCCAGCAGCTAGTCTAGCTACTAGATAGGACAGCAATGGCAATAGAAAGGGAAAAACACAGTCAATTTACCACTCTCGTTCTGATCATATAAAACAGGCCGTTTTCGCTGGCTAGCTAGTGATTCGATTCAGCTATTCTAAAAGGGTGATGGCTGGACTGATAGCTATGAATACTACATGTAGTACTAGCTAGTTGTAGCTTTGCGGAAAGCTAGCTAGCTTGGGATGTTTGGTGGAATAACAGCATCATTCCAGTGTACCGGTACCGGTAGCGTAACTTCAAACTTCGAACCACCCCTGGCAGCACAAGCTAACAAAGCTGAAGAAAGCCACGATTTTTTCTAATAGGATATCCAATATCCGCATGTCCGTCTCATCATGGTTTGCGAAATCAGGCAAGCGAAGGCAACCACTACTGGTGACAGCCCGGTGACCTCGGTTGATCATGGTAGCGCAACCATCGTGATCCTTCATTCGCCACCCACAGCGACACAACCCATAAGCATTCCAACTAATAGTAACTGTGCACACCAGCTCTACTTTCCAACCACTTTTATTATGGCACAGTTTGAACCGTTGCTGTCCTGGTTGGCTGGATGGCATCAACGCTATCCATACCGCCCAGCCACAGACTTGCTTTGTTTGAGCTTTTTTTTAGTGGCCTGAATTCCTCCTTATCCCAGATTCTGAGATCCTTCCCGCTGAGCTTTCAGTGCAGTCCTGTACCCAAGCGTGACAGCCCACATAGTCACGCATTGAATAAGCAATAATAACCCCACTAAATACGCCCACTTGCCTACTCGCCTACTCGCCAAGCATGTGGTGGGGAGTGTAGGAATAATTAAAAATCACTTTTAACCCAGCACAGGGAGTTCTTTTGGCTGAGAGGTCGGAATCTCTACACTTGGATTGAATGGCTTTGTTGAGGCTTTCATCATTGTCTCAGTAGTTGTTTGGTGGATGCCGTGCTTTACCAGCTACTTATTATTTACCGCCACCAGATTGGGCTTGTGATCATGACAGTCGAATCTATCAAGGGCAACCCTAGCTAGAATGCGACAATACCATTGTGGATTGATTAATCTAACGATCTAAGAGATGTAAAGTTTGTATTTCCAAATAAGTGAGCAGTTATTGATTACCTCGGCAGTCTTGCTGCCAGAGCCCTCAACCCCTTTAATTGTTTTTCCTGCTACGGTGGTCCCTGCAGGTATAAGGGTAGGGTTAGAATACAAATAAGTCAGCAAAAACTAAATAAGTAGCCTAGGATGGTGCTTTTAAACCAGCTAAAGCTATTTACATGCATCTAGTAGGGGGGTCTGCTTCTACAGGAAAAACTCTAAAGCTAAAAAGCTATATAACTAGTATTCTAGCTAGCTTGGGGTATACGGTATCTGCTTCTAGCTTGCTATGGGAATCTGCTTTAGCTAGGGGTATCTGCTTCTAGCTAGCTAAGCGCAAGTTAAGCACTAGCTAAGCACTACAGGTATCTGCTTCTAGCTAGCTAGCTAATAGGGGTATCTGCTTCTACACTGAA